TATATATATATATATACACACTTGTCATTTTATTGTTAATTCTAATCAATGTAATTAATTTATAATTTTGTCATTGTATTTGGTCACTTGAGCATTTACATTATGCAGGCATTTACATTGCTCCTTTAATACCTTGTGGATTATACATTGTAGCTGCTGCTTAGTTTCTGCTTTAGGCAGTTCGTATTGCAGGGAAAGTACTGGTATACTGATAGCCCACTTTTCTTCAGCAGCAGCAAAACGTGTGTATTAAGCGTTCATTTTACATCAGCCAAGCATGTGAAGTTAGCCTGGAAATACATTTAAATTATTCTGACATGGCAGAAATCTGCTATCCCTTTTGATACAGTCTATTCGTGTGCTGATAACACATACCAAATCATGCTAGGCCCTGCTTAAAGCAGGGGGTTGGATTAGATGACTTCCAGACGTGCCTTTCAGCCCAAATTATCCTATCATTTTTGATACATATGATGATAGCATAAGGGATAACGGTGACAGTGATCCATGGCAGAAGGATCAAGGGTGTGAAATGTATTCCTATGGAGGAAAAACATAGCAATAAGGAAGAGGGGCTGTAGAGACAGGATCAGCTTCTTGCTCTGCTGCCACCTTTGCAGATTGTAGAAACTGAGGTCAAGTAAAACAACTTGGCTGTAAAACTGAAACTACAGTTTGGCAGTTGCATTAAGCTAACAACAAAGAATAGACTGCTGCCAAGGAAGGGGTCCCTGCTCTCAGCTGTGTGTTCCTGCCTTCACCTTGGTGGTGAAGTTGGTGCTCATGTGCTGAAGCATATTAGGAATTGATCTGGCATGAAGCTTGTAAGCTGCTGTATGGCTGTGTGATCGCTGGTGCCAGTGCAGATGAGAAGGTGACAATGTGCTGCTAGAGGCAGGGAGGCAGTTCTGCAGGCACAGCCGCTGTGTAATTTGGTCCCGGCTGTGCCAGCAGTTTGTTGCTTTGCGAGTGCTCGTGTACCTAACAGTGGTGCTGTGCTCAGGAGGAAGTGAGAGAAACTTACAATTGTTAGGTCCTGGCTGCAAGGAGTCCTCCTGCATTGCAATTCAGGTGATGGGATTTCTCATGGAGAGCCTGGGGAGTGGAGGAAGCAGGGCAGGAAGCAGTGCTTCACTCTCTTCCCAGCCCTTCCTCTCTCTTTCCGTAGAGATGCATCCAATATTGTGTTCATCTACTTTTCTAAGCTTTGGACCAGCCAAATGCTGGTGGGGATGTTCTTTCCCCACTGTTTAGTATGCTTCACAACAGAGGTGAACAAATGAAGGGCTTACCTAAATTTACATAGCTATGTGCAGAAAATTACAGTTCCTGAAATTTTATAGTTGATGCTCCAGTTCTCCATGAGGCAGTGTTGTTTGTGCAGAGAAAAATGTTCTCAAGACTATGTGCAGCAGTTCAACTTCAAGCATTTTACACATATTAAGAATAATAGCTCTAAGACTTGTGATTCTATCTACCTCCTAACTTTTTGATTAAGCTGCTTTCTGCCTGCTAGAAGATTTCCTGATGTTCCAGACACCCAGGAACTTTCAAACAGGTATAGAGTCTTCACACTGATGAGAAAAGTGATTGTTACAGAAAGCTTCTGGCAACATGAACTATCACATCTCATGTGTATACTCAAAAGAAATGTGTTGCTGATACACCAGTTCTTTTGATGTCACCTGCTTTATTTGAGTGAAGGATGACTGTCAGGAATGATGCAGAAACAGCAAATGTGGTGTGGTGGGGAGAATGTTGTAGTTCTTGTAATGCAGGCTGCTGTGTCAGTTTGTGGCCTCCAAATATGTGACCTTCCTGTTAACAGCAGTGTTGAATTCTGCTGGAGAAGGGAAAAGCATTGAAGTTTTCAGATAGCATGAGGGCAACATCTGCTTGTCACTGCTTGGAAATGAGTTCTTAACCCTGGAGAGGCTACTTGTGGTAGGGTAAGATGAGAGCGTTTAGACTTGCCAGTAGCAAGATTTAGACATGTAGAATACTTTGGAGTGACTAGATTTTTCTTGGATACCTTCATTTATTGTATATTTTAAGAAACAGAGTATACAAACACTAACAAGTGTTGTAGAGGCATTGTTGCTCCAGAATGACACAATCTGTGCTGTACCCTGGGTAAGGCTACATTGCCTGAGTCTCCTTCTTTTATGGAGAGATACTTAGAGGGGAGTGGGGGTTGCAGCTCTAAGTGTAATTACTAGTATTGGTGAAGGGTAAGTGTACAGGAATGGCAGTCTTGCTCACTGCCTTCTATAGGTGACAGTGTACAAACTTCCTCCTTTTGGTATCTGGAAGAAAAGTCCATAAATGGATGTGTAATTTTTGCAAGCTTCACCTAGGCTATTATTCTGCAGATAATGAAGTGCTGACCATCTTGCAAATGTGCTCCACAGTCCTTCCTCTGTTTTTCTGATATAACCATAGAAAGTTAGGAAATGCAGTGTTTCATGGTCTTGGCCTTAACTAGGAATCTGAGGCTTCCTGGAGAAAGTTAACAGCTATGGAAATCTGCTTCATTAACGTGGTGATTGAGAAGCAACCTTTGTTTCTTTATTTCTGCAGAACTAACTGATGTTCTGGATAGCACTAGGGTGAAGGCAAGGTATTCTGTATTTTGCAGTTAACAGAACACAGTCAATGTAATGCTGAAAGTTGGAAACAAAAAACAGTGGTATTAACAGATTGTGCCTCAACCTGATACAGGATGCAGCAAGCAGACTGCTTGGGCTCTAGCCGAAGGTTGGCTGCTTTCTATGCCTTATACAATGTTTGTCTTGCTTCTAGTGCCTTACTAGAGTGTGCTGTAAAAGGATTCAGGATGTGGTAAATCAGACACTTCCTCTTTGGTTTTTTGAAGACATGGTTCTTTAACCTAGGGAACTGGAATGGACCATATTGTCTCAAGGAGTATGACCGTTTGATTAACCTCTAGTGATTTGTGGCTGAGACACCTATGCCTGGAGTGGATGATGCTGCTAGAGCAGGTTATTCTTTTGCTCGTGGCTTTCTTCATTTGACATGAGGAGATGAATGGGAGCCATCTTTAACTTGCCATGTCCTTGGTTTCCCATTCTGGGGATTTTATTACAATGACTACAGAGAAAAAGTGGGGTCATAAAACTTTATTCCAGTGCATATAGATTTAAATGCTGTACACTGACTGAAAGTTCAGTGCCAATGTGTGAAGAAAATTCAAAATACATTGGTTTGTGCTTTGGTTTTAATAAATGTTTTCATATTTTCTTTTTTTGTAGCTTCTTCAGCAGCTGAAGCGATTAATATGTGACCTCTGCAGACTATATAATCTTCCTCAGCATCCAGATGTTGAGATGTTAGATCAGCCATTACCAGCTGGACAGGTAAATCAAAAAGCTGTGGGCACCCCCTTATTGCAGTGAAGGAGGAGTTTTTTCAACTCCAAGAAACAAGATGTTGGGAATGATTAAACCTTTTGTAAGGTAGGACGGAGATAGGAAGCACTGTTGCTTTATGGTGTTCCCAACCTGAATGTTGTTTGCAAATCCATTTAATAATGGTGTGATCATATTACACAACTTCTGTATGATGGAAAGGTGTGTATGTGATACCAGTGCTGTCAGTTTAATTCCCTCCTAAATACTGTTCAAGCCAGTCACTGCACATTCCTAGTGCTTCCCAATTTTTTTCTGAGAGGAAACCGTGATTATACACTGTTTACTTTTTCTTGAAGAGTGTATGTTTTTCAGTGTGCACTTGGATGAACTACTGTTGATGTTTTCCTTCCTTTTCAGTCCCTTGCAGAGACATGGGATATCAAGACCATATGCTACTTTGGATAGGGAGTATCTGAGGTGCCTTGTTTACTTTTTGTGCACTTGACAAGTTAAGAGTTATGAAGGGCTGTGAAATGTTCCGGTTAACTAAAATGTTTTGCATTGTGCTGAAAACAGAACTTGTAACTGGCAGTTAATGCTCTTTTTTGTATTTTTAGTAAGTTTGTGGTGTCTTGGTTTGCTTATACGTGTTAGGATGACAGGATTTCTAACGTGTACTGTAACAGATGTTTTCCCTGTGGTGACAGTACTATAGTAATGACAAATAACTTGCTTAATTTTGGTCACGTGCCAAATTGTAATCCTATGGGTCTTTTCCCTCAGCCACCCACATAGCAGTGCAACTGTAAGGCAATAGACCTGTAATACTAGGAAATAGTTTTGTTGGAGAGTCTTGCTTATGCTCTGAAAGTCAAAAACAAACTCATGCCAGATAATTTGCAAGTTAAATAAGAGTCACCTTAGTAAATCAGACCAATCCTCTTCATTTTCTACAGCGGTGGGATTCCTTCTTTGCCAAAGGAAGAGTAACCAGAGGATAAGCATATCAGAATGAATGCTCCTGAGAATTCCTGCAGCTCAGACCTCCTGAGCTTCAAGTGGCATCCTGAAATGGAAAGCCATGAAAAATGAACTCAATGTATTGTTTGGGTATTTAGTCGAATAATCTAGTAACAGTGGTTATAAGATGGTAGTAGTTGTTGTATGAGTTCTAAAGTTCATTGAGTTTTTGATTTTTAGAGGTCTGCCATGTACAGCTGTGACCTGATTTCACAGTTAAGAGATCATGAGTTATAACCGGCTTGACTTGCTTACTGCATTTGGCACTGGCTTAGAATAGGATATCCTTGTCTGAATCCTAACTTTCCACTTAGAACTTAATGTGCAATTAATAGTGACATTATGTTTATTTTTGCTTCATACAAGAAGTCTTTTCACTGTCATACTCCAGGAAAGCATCTTTGTGTGTTTTTCACATTAAACTTCAGTCCTTTGCAGATCTTGCTAAGTGTAACTTGTGTATCTAGTGCTTTCTCTTTGATAGGAGACTCTCTGAAAGAAAGGAGCGTATGCACAATTTATGCAGAAACTTCATTGTTGTATTGCAGAATGGAACAACAGAAGAAGTTACATCGGAGGAGGAGGAGGAAGAAGACATGGGTGAAGTATGTGTATATATGAGATCGTTGTCTTGATGTAGTATAATTCTGGCATTTCACTCTGCACTGGCTGCCTACTTATTAAGCCCAACTGCAACATGTAACCTCCCTAGAGTTCAACACAAAAGATAATGAAAAATTAGGATGTTTACCTTAATGTCAGCTTTCACTTCAACCACAAACCTAGTGAAATTTTCTTCTTAAACCTAGATCTCAGCTGTGAGGTACTTGGATACAGAGAATTGGACATCTGTTTGTGCTTTAGTCAAACAATGCATAACCTTGTGTGCCAAATCAGTAAGTCTGCATTGTTAACTCTTATTTCAAGCAGCATATGAACTGGCTCCAATACAACTGAAAGCGCCTCCCAAATTGAAGCAGACTGGCTAAGAGTAAATCAGTTTGCTGATTCATTAAACAGGTGAGCTAGTTTTTAACTAGAATACCTTGAAGGAAATGGAAGGACATCAGAAACAGACACACTAAACTTTAGGGGGCTTTTGTCACTGTCTGACAACACAGTGCTCCTTTTAATGAGCTTTTTACTGTGTGAGAACCCACCCCTTTGACTTACTTCTACAAAATGTCAGCATAGCTCCCGTATGCTTGCTTTTTAAACCACTGTAATAAATGGCCTTATTATAAGAGAGCTGTTCTGACTACTTCAGACTTAGGTTTTCAATGAAGGTGTGTAGTAAGAATGAACAACTCATTTTCTGAATAAAAGGTTTCCCTTTAGAAAAGATCTGAATGTTACCTGTGTTCTGGAATTAATTTGAAGCAGCCTGTCTTACAGCATATTTAGCCTGATCCAGACCACATGTGTTGGAACCAGAGTTTCTTTAAAGGTAGTATGTACGCTCCCATATCTTACTGCCACAAGGCTCTTGTTGCTTGCAAAATTGTAAGTAGCATTTTGCACGCTGTTAGGGTTATGTTAGACAAAAAAACTGTCCTGTCTGTCATTATTTATAAGCTGTCAGGTAGCATTGTGTATGGCAATCATATCTTCAACTTCTGATGTAGTCCAATTTCTAAACTGAAAAGCTTTTTACGGTTTGTAGGGCTACTGTCATTATTTTGAGAAACATGAGCATTTTAAAGAATACTCAGTTTAAAATCTGTTACAGTGTTATCAAAGGCACCACATGGGTGTGTTTCTTAGTACGTGAGACATCCTTGAGTTTGCATTTATGGCCAGGTTTTCCTGCCATGCAAACAGATGGTGCATGAAGAGTAGCCACAGGCGTGGTGGAGCAGATCTGATAGTTGTGTACTCAGAGTTTGCTGGTGTGGCTGCTGTGGTGCTTCATTTTTCATCTCGAGGTATTTACATCCTTCCCCTCCTCTCCACAAATAGCACTTGAGTCACCTTAGAGACAGTTGTCTCAAGTTCTGCAACAGGATAACCCCATCTCAGAGTGTAGGGTGGAAGATTTTTTAGTCTTAGTCTAGAGCTCGGGACTGTAGTGTTGGCTTGTGTAATCAGAATACTTGACTGCATAAATTTGTCTTGTATCCTAATTCCAAAATTGCTGCATCTAATCTTCAGCCAAAATTCACCTTGAAAGAAGTACATGTAGCTTTCTAATATTTAACTTTCTTGAGGGGTTGCTGTAGCCCTGCCAGGTATGTTAATCATTGTTTGCCAGCAGTGTAATATAGCTAGGATTCTAATTGAAAAAAAGAGTCTGCTCTTAGAAACATCTTGGAGACACTCTAGCTTTGCATACTTTTGGATTCTCAGGCCTTCTTCAAAATGCCTTCCTCTTTCCTACCTACATTAATGGGCTAATTCACTGTAATCTTAGCTTCTTGCAGAGGTGTTATTGTGCTTGGTTTTGTGACCAGAAGCATGTTGTGAATTTGAGTCTTCGCTTGTATTGTGAAGGCTCCCTACACTTCCAGTGAATAATGTTGGCCAGGAGAGTGAAGTTAGTGCAAAATAGAAATGGCATCCAACAGTTAGTAATACATAGAGCTGTGCAGTATGTGACTGTATTCCCCAGTGCCCTTGGAGGGGGCTTCATTGAACAAAGAGCATAGTTAAGTTATTTACAGTCAATTTTCCTTTATCCTGTAGGACATTGAAGATCTGGATCATTATGATATGAAGGAGGAGGAACCAGTTGATGGGAAGAAATCTGAGGATGAAGGCATTGAAAAAGAGAACCTTGCAATCTTAGAAAAAATCAGAAAAAATCAAAGGCAAGATCACTTAAATGTGAGTTACTGATTTTTATGGTTTTTCTTTGAAATAGGAATGGTTTTCAGCAAATAAAGCCTACTGTTATGCACCTAGACATACATTAATCTGTAGCTGACTTCCAGCATAAATAAGACAAACATCTCAAGTTATGGGACCTAAATAGCTCTTTTTGGTGAAGTTTGAATAGGCCAGCTAAGATTCCAAGGTCGTTTAGTAAATGGACTCATCTTTCATCAAAATCTTTGGCACAGGAAGTTAGTTGTCAGTCCATATCCCACAGAGGCACAAAAGCTACCTCAGAGCACTCTCATTCAGCCTAGGAGAATGCTATCTTAATTTATTTTGTCAAACTGGGTTGAGTTATTCTTGGCATTTTGGATGAGGAAGCATCTTTTAGCTTTTCCCTGGAGACAATTCTTACGTGTAAATCCAGGTTTCCCACTTGTTAACAATATTCAACTGCCTGTCTAATTTCTAGAGGTATCTATTTGGCTGTCCCTCTCTCTCGCTTGATGCCTTTGTTATCAACAGTAGTCCTCCTTATAGAATCAGCAGAAAGCATCTAGGTTGTAAGCATGACGTCTGTTGCTGAGCCCTTAGTAAAATAACAAATAAAGCCGTATATAAAATTAACTGCATTAAAAGTCATAGGCAACTCAATATAATTAGTTAAATCCAGGAGTTTGTGCTTTAAATCCATTTTATGCATGAGTTTTGTTTTTCAATAATACCTATGCCACGTGGAAATTATTGAAGGGTGGTTTGCAGGTTTTTTTGCCAGACATAAAACCAGGGGCCTTCAGCACCTCTGTAGTTTTATCATCACAGTTATCTGAGTTCTCCTCCTAGCAGGTAGTTGTAAAAAACCTGTTTGCTCTCTAGAGGCTTAGCAATGTTTTGTCACAAGTGCCAAGTTCCAGGGAAGCTTCTACTTCTCAAAGGTGCATGTAGGAGGGAATGATGTCATACAACCTGAATTTTATTAAGCCTGGCTTCCAAAGAAATCAAAACCGTTTCACAGAGGCTTCACATGTGTAATGCTTAAATTTTAATACTTCTGTTCACAACCAGTTTTAGGCCAAGGTAAGGGTTCTAAGATTTTTGTAAGTCACCTGTACAGAAAGAAGGTGCCTGAACTGCTGCCTGCTACCATGTGAGATCATAAGTTGTTACATGCTGCTTGGCAAGTCTGTAGACAGGTAGTTCATGTCCAGATATAAGATGAGCTATTCCTCATTAAGCCAGTAGTTGAAGATGTGAACAGTACTTAGGTACAGGGGAGGGACCTGTAACTATTTAGGGAAGAAATAAGGTTTAGGATCGATATGTAGGGAAGACCTGGATTTTTGGCCAAGGAGCCAGCTTTTTCTAGTTCTTACATGGGATTCCCCCTCCCCCCCCCCGCAATTATTTTCTAATAAGCCTAAATTGCACCTAAAAATTGTGTTAGATTCAAGAGGATTGCTGTTGTAAACCTCTTTTGATTTATAGCAAGAGCTCTATATATTCAAAGTGCTTGGGTCAAGCTAATCTTGTAAAACTGGATGTGCTCCTGAGAGATCTGGTTATCATAAGAATTTAGGGAAAAGGCTCCTTTAGTTAGCAGAGTCTTGACTATTTCTTGCAATGAATTGCTGGTCCTAAATAGTTTAGAAAAAACCCTTTTTCCTCTTAGTTAGTGACACTTTAACATGGAGAAAAGTTTTAGTTTGTAGCCATCTGCTTTACCAAGGAAATAAAATAGAAATCCTTCTGTCAGAGTTCTTCAACCACTGTCCCAGTGCTGTTCAGGTATGACTTGAGTGCAGACCTCTCAAAAATACCTTGGACTTATGTTCTGCTAAAATAGGCAGTATGAAATAGTGTGCTAGACGAGACTTTCATTTGTGTATGAATTCAGTAGTTTCCTACCAGGTTGTCTGAAGGAAAGTGTACAGTAAGGATCACCCTTCAAAAGTAACCCCAAACCAACAACAACAAAAAAAAAACCAACCCAAACTAAACCTAAACCTGATCAGCATTTCAATATTTAAAAGCAGGTAAACGTAAGGTGCCAAACTGCTTTTGCTGTACGGTCAAGTCTTAAAAGAGACACAGTGATCACTTACCGATTTTGTTTTAAACTGTGAACGTTTAAGTTTAGAAGATGCCTATTAAGATTCCATATATTTCTTTACTTACAACTCAGACCTCATGGTGGCGACTTCTTAATTACTAAAGAAAATAAATCCTCTTGCAGCCTGAAAGGCATGGGCTACCATCATCTAAAACTTAGGTAGAACTGGAAAAGTGTTTTTATAGTTTCAGTGGTTTTGCTTGGTGTGGAAAGCTTCTTAAACCTGCAGATTTCCTTTTGCTGTCTGTTTTTTCCCCATTTGACAAATACTGCCTTTCCTTTTGCTTTTTTTCCCTCCACATCTAGTGGAGCTGAAATGAACACTGCTGGTTTGCTGTTTGACAACAGCAGATTCAACTTACATAATAGCTGTTTCTCATGCCAAGACACTCTCGTTGATGCTGGTGCATAAACAAGGTCAGCTGAGTACAGGGAACAGGGTATTCAACTGCTGCTGAGGAACTGTGGCATTTTTGTGGGTCACCAGAAATAGCTGCACTGCTTAAGGAATTTCTCAAAGGACTTGTGAGGTTTTACTTTTAAGTGCTTGAGAACTGAAAGCTGGAGCTGAACTACTGACCTAGGAAAGAGCTAACCTAGTAGCACTTCAATGCCCCTTTATGCTGCCAAAACATGGGACTTTGAATAGAACGTTTTAAACATGTTCTAAGATAATATCCTAACATAGAGCAAAACTTAAATCTGTGCAGCCCTTCACAGAGGGTTTTCTCAGAGGGCTGTGTGAGTTCCACAGACATAAACATAGTGGCTAATCATAGTCTGCTTTTCACACAAACTACACAGCTCTTTTGGTATACTTTTGTTTCCTCAGCAGAGGAAAGTAAAACACACCCATGTTGTTTACACAGTTGATGTTGGAAGAGGGAGTGTGAAGCCTAGTGCTTTGACTAGTGCCCAGTGCAACCAGAAGGCTTCTCAGTTTCTTTACGTGTTCTTCGGTCCAAATCCATGGGTCATCCTCTCTCCCCTTGGCTAGAATGCAGGTTGAAGTTAGAGATGATACAAAAAGGCTTTTCCGTAGGAAAGAAGTGCATGCAGTCCTGTTCTCTCATGTTCCTAACAGTTTAAAGACATTTCTCTGCTGCTCAGGACTTTTGTCATAGGGATTTTTAGGGTTTGTGTGTTTTATAGTAGTTAAGAATATGCATCTACTAATCTTGTAAATGAGTTCTCTCCCTTGGCAGTATCTCAAATCCTACTCTTGCCGGCGTCAGGAAATATATTTGGCTTGTGGTGTAGCATGTAACTTGGAGCAGGAATTAATCCTCCTCTTAACATTGTAATAACTTGAAAGAACCACTTGTATACGGGGAGTAGGAAAAAGAAAGGTCTTTGAACTGGAATCATTAACTTCAAATATTTAACAACCTGCTGTTGCTTGCTTTTCAGAGGTCTCTCCCCACAGACATATTGGAGATTAATGCTTTTCTTATTTAGATAATGCTATTAGCTTTTTCCATTTCCTACTGAGGAGTTTATGCACTTTCCTCTCAAAGTCCTAAATGTCTCCACTTTCATCTTCAGCTTTTATGAAGTCTAAGGTGTCATTTCCATTTTCATTCTAATCCTTGAAGTATGAAGCTACCATAACTTTCAGGAATCAATGTACTTCTGCACAAATACTAAGGAAGTTCAGTGAAAATAGAGCAAAGTTGTATTTGTATTCTTTAGCTCTTTTGAGGTCACTTTAGGTTTTGTTTTATCATCTTGGGGAGACTCCATTTTTTTGTGTTTTGCTTTAGTAGGTTTTTTTTGGTCTTGTGGCTGAGTTATCTGAAATGTATTGTGAGTGAGGCAATTTCCTGTTTTGATGCATGACAGTATTTGTCAAAGCAGAGAGAAAAAAGGCAATTCAGGCTTTGGATTTAAAACTGCAGTGAACTGCACCCCCTACAATTCAGTTTAAGGAGCAGACTGTGGTTGTCTTTTGAGAGATGGAAGGGGAAAAGAAAAGGTCCAAAGGAGAAAAGCTGAGGCTGCAAAACCTCTTATCTCTGGAGATTTAGTGCAGCAGACAGCTAGGGCAGTGGCATTGCTGTGTTGCAGTTAGGTGTGCCCGACTGACCTGCAAACGCAGAAGCTCTGTTCTGAAGTCCTAGTTGTCTTAGAAGCTGCTGAACTGTTCTGTAAAGTATTTTACTCAAATGCATGTGTTTGCAATAAAATACTAAGGATAGAATCCCTTCTGAAAAATGTAATCCCTATAATACTGACTTGCATCAAAGTTTCATGTTTCTTGCAGTGGCACATGGCCTTAATGGGAAGAGTTTGAGAACAGGACAAGCTTGTAGTGATGCATCTCATGAATAGTTTTCATGCCCAACAGTTTTACTCTGGGAATTCCTGCACCAGGTATTTCAGTTACTTGCAACTCTCAGCAACTGGCACGTTACCTGCATAGATCTGTACCTCCTGTAGCAGGGATTTCTCCAGTTTATCTTGTTGTTGTCCTGGAGAACAAGTACGCTTGAACAGGAGAGGATGATAAAGTGAGACCTCTTGTGCCTGTTTACTTAACCAGAAAGAAGTCACCTGAGGCTTCTCTGGCAGCTGTGTTAACTTCTTCAGTTTACAGATCAAATGGCTATGCCTTTCTGCACTTGGAATCAACCCCAGGTTCCTGTCAGATCCTATGACTGACCAGTTATTTCTAAGGCAGTTGTGATTTTAATCTTGATCTCACAAGTGGAGAAGTGGGAGTTTTATCTCCCTTGGAGTGGTAAGTCCCACTTTTCCAGAAGGATATGCTCCATTATCTATATCCGAATTCAGTCTTCAAAGTTACACCTTGCATATAGCAAGTTACTGAAAGTTAAAGTTTTTTATTTTAGTGCCACTATAGTCAAAACTGAACTCATTGCTCAACTATATCACGCAATGGTGTGTTGCAAGTAGTACTCCCTTCTAAACTGCACTTTAACAGTAGCTGTAAAAAGCAAAAGTGACATCAGAATGAAGAGTTCATGTTTCAAAGCAGTGGTGTTTGGCATTAAGGTTACTATCAGGTATAGGAGTTAATATCTACAAGTTCCTCTTCAGCTTTGTCCAAGGGTAGTTAAGAACATGTAAAGTAAGCGCCTGTGCTAAACTTGTTAGGTTAAGCTTGCTAGCCTCTTTCTCTTGATCGTAGATTGCTGGTTTGCACTCTGTCAGTTCTTTAGAGTAGCAAGTTTAATTATCTGTAATACTGCTGTATAAGGAGTGGGCACCCCAACCAGAAAGTCTTAGGGAAGAAAGGGTGAAAAATACTGGTATAGACTAAATCTACTGAGGCTAGCTCACCCACACTAAAATTAACCTTTGTTTTTAAACACCACTTCGGTTTCTCAGCAGTTATAATGGCACAAAGGAGTATGTGGGTGTTTTAAGTCTGGGGTTTTAAATTACTACAGTATAGATGATACTTAAATTTTCATATGCAAAGGTGAGCTTCCAACATTATGTACAGGAATTCAGTAGCTTAATTTGATGAGAATAAAGATGCAATGAGGAAGCTAGTTTTCCAGAGGATGTCTTTGAGAATCCGAGTTGGTTTTAAATTGCCAGTATTTAGAGGTTGATATTCTGTGAAATATGTAAACCAGTTCCTTCTTTTAGTAAGAAATACAGCAGATGAGGCAAGGATATTGCACAGCCTGCACAGAAGGTGGCCAAAGTCTCAACACTTCTCTATGAAGTTTCCTCTGGATTCAACATATTGATGAATCTCAACCTTAACACTCAGTACAGGTCTGCAAAAGCACAGCCATTATGCAGGGAAATGGTGCTTAACAATGTGTTGTGTTAACTTAAGTGTGCTGCTTCCTTTTCCAGCCAATCTGCAAATAGTGTAAATAGTAGTAATCTGCAGATAACTTAAATGAATAACCAAACTTTTTTCTTTTTTTTTTCTCCATGAAACCTTTATTCACTTGGTGTTAAAGGAAGAGAAATTCTTTCTTTGTCTGATACTGCTCTATGGACAGGGGCTTAAGTAAACTGAGAAATGACTTCTCCGGAGCTCTGTCTTTATGCAGCTTTTGTTTAAACAGATTAAAGGAGTTGCCTTTTATTTGCATATTTAATTACAGAGTTTATTCTTCATACTGGCCCGTTAAGAAAAACTAGTGGAAATTCAGTAATCTGCATAATTAAATCTAGTAGAATATGAAAATGAGTAGACTAAAAGAATAGTCTGCAGATTATAGTGTGAAGCTAAACATATTATATGGTGCTACCGAATGGAGAAGACAAAGGAGTATGTGGAGGCTTTAGCATCAAGTAACTACTACTGATATTTAATCCTTATTAAGAAATAATTTGATCCTACAATTAAGACCTTGTAGAATATATAATATCACTGTTGACTTCAAGCAATCAGGGTGACTTTTCAGGTATTAGGCAATGGTCATAGCTGCTTCAGACTCCTCCTGAAATACTTCTCTGATACTTCTGTCCAAAAAGGATCTGTTGGTAGATAGATCTTTATCATAGTGTCTGAAAGAAAACTGAAAAAACAATTCTCTTCCAACATGGAGTAGAAAAACAGACCCCTAATCTAATCATTCAGTATTTAATATAGGGAAGCTGAACTTAACTTTAGGTGAGGGCTTTTTTGCTTTTGGTGGTAGGATTTTTGTTTGTTTTCATCTCTTTTTTCCAAAAATCTCAAATGTAAAATGGTATTTTGGGTGGAATATGTAAACAGGGTAATCATGTAGCATCCAAGGTTTAGTACCAAAATCTGTCCTGCTACTGCTGGCACTAAATTGGAGAGAGTACTCAAGGTACTTTTGGCGATCATGTTATTCTAAATAAGCACTTCAGTTTTGTAAGAGGGAAAGGTTCTGGCCTCACTTTAAAGCTCAGAAAATTGAGGCAAAATTTAATACCCAGGTCACAGAACTGTCAGCGTTGGGGATATATGCAGAATACATCCAGTGCAGCAGTTGTGGATTAAGTAGACATCAGTTACTTGGTAACTGGTGTGTTCATTAGTTGGTCAATAACTGGTATTTTTTGGAGACAATTATATTTTACATGCATGTCACTTTTTTTTCCTCTTCTTTTTCTTTTTTCTTTCATACTGTACCTCAGCCTGAAATATCAGGTTTAGAAATTATGTGCTATTTCATCACTTTGGGATGCTGACTAATACAGAACTGAGCTCTGAAAGAACAGAAGAGATTTGTGCCCTGGTTGCATAAACCAGAAGAACTATGCTAAATCACAAGAAATTATGTGGTATTTTCAGGTTTACTTCCTTTAGGCTTCCTCTGTGTAGGTGCTGGGTTTTTTTTCACTCTGTTGCACATAATAGTATCGCTTTTGTTCTGCATTTTCAAAGTATTTTGGTTGGTCCTACTGCATCCAGAAGCTGCTGCTCTGTGGAGGATACTTCCCAACTCCTCTACCTTTCTTTTTGTAACCAAATAAAAATACACTTCTGAGAAAACAGTAAAACCTTATGTGCAGAAGCTTGTTCTTAGCATTAGTCTTACTTTTCTTTTCAGTGCATAAGAGTAAAAGGTAAAAGGAAATATTTCCCTATTAGAATTATACTGTGGATCCATCTTGGAAATCAAAATGCTAGAAAGATTAAACTACTTTACAGAAACATTTGTCTGTTGTACCTTGATTAGAAATTTGTATCACCTATACCATGTAGTAGTATATATTAATGTGCTGCTTTAGAGCATCTTGTTTCTTTTGAGTAGTCTTTGCTCACTAGAATATGTAACTTTTTAGAAAACTGATTCTAATACAGAACCTTCTGGTTACTGTAACTTTATAATGGAAATAAAGCTGTTTGTAAGTACTACTTTTCACTTATTTGCAGTCTTTTTTTGTTTGTTTCAGGGTGCAGTCTCTGGGTCAGTTCAGGCTTCAGATCGACTTATGAAAGAACTCAGGGATATATATAGATCACAGAGTTATAAAACAGGTAAAATGCTTCAGATTTCCCTTAAAATATATTTTAAGTGTTCTCTTGACAAATACTTCCTGCTAATGCTGTGTTTTGTTGTCATATATATGCATATACATGTATGTGTATATATGTGTGCACATATATAAAAATACATAGATATATACATTACATAGAATCTTGTTATATAAAAGTGTATTGGTGGAGAGAAGGAAGTGAGGATACATCTCCTAAAATGTTCTTCCTTTTTTGTAATGCAAAACTTCATTGAGAATTAACAGACAGGTGTAATTCTGAGAATGCTCTTGGGGTGGGTGACTACAGAGAACAACTCAGGACTACTCCTGTGGGACTTCTTTAGGTTTCAAAGCTACCTGAAGTTCAGCTCTCCAGGTATATAGGGCTAAAGCTCTGACCACTACCACTAGTGGGTAGTACTGCCCACAAGGATAAGCTTGCTGTAGAGAGACTTCTGTTCAACAGCTGAAGGTTTTGTTGTTATACAAGATTTAACCTTAATTACACTGCTGTTACCGCCATTATTTTGTGATGGTGTTAATCTGATCCTGAGCTTCATGTATTCCTTGGAACAAGCATACAAATGGTAGTTGAAAACAAGCTTGTCTTTTAAATTTGTTTGCAAAACAAACACTGATTGGTGTTAGGTAGGTGGTTGGCTGTTCTATTTGCTCCATATTAGGGCGGTAGCTAAACAGCTCAGCTAAGGAATCAGTATATTGAATTGTCTGAGTGTCACCGTCCAAGAAATAGAGATAATACAGATTACAGGCAAGTTGTACTGTTGTGGGTCAGCTGAGTAGACAGCTTCGTTGCTGCAGCCAGGTATGAGAACCAGGATGGGAATCTTAGAAAATTAGTCTAAATTGTAATTCTCTCTCTCTCTCTCACTGAGCTTCTGCCATAGTTTGTTTCTAGTGATCTTAAATCTCACTCAGTGGCTATGGCATTTTAGTTCATGTGTAAAATGACAGAGTTGAAGAGACATTAAGCTCCTGTTTTGATTTGCCATATTTACCTTTAAGATAAATAGTTTTATGTGCTCAAGTACTGTGGACAGTGTCTGAAGTATAAATTTGATTAGGTAACCTAGTGTTGATCTAATGTAGCCTGCTTCTTTTAGGCTTTACTGCAACTGAGTGCTTGCCAGTATGCCCTAATCACCATCTGTCCAGCAAAGAATGGATTACTGGGACTAAGGAAGAGCCTAGAAATAGATCTGTGTTAGTCACATGGGATGCTTTACTGCCCATGTATGATCTTCAGGGTTTGTTTTTGTGGTTGGAACAAAGATTGGGTATAACAAATCTACTTGACTATAGCAGTGGTACTGCTGGAGTCACCAAGGAGCTGCTGTAATAGGTGTATTTAGAGGTGAGGATTTGGGTTCCTTAATAATGCCATTTCTTGGCTTTAGATTAATAATGAGTCTTAACTCATTGCAAAAGACTGAACTCCTTATGCAGGAAAGCATATCCTGATGAGGAAAAGTAAACCCTGCTATAAACTGCAAAGGAAGTTGAAGTATTAGAAGGAGTATGGTAACTTAATATTAGCTTATGATTTAGGAATATGTAAAATGGCTACAACCGGGTGCCTTTTCTAAAGCATGTTGATGAAGTGTCAAGTGGGGGTTGATGCTATAAAACCATGGCAATCCTGCTTTGAAACAGCATCCTACTGATACATTTATTAAATGTTGCCAGTAAATAATGGTGTTTGTTATAAAACTTACCTAGATCCACTCTTTATGGCTTCATTTGATCTTAGGACTTGAGAGTTTAAATATCAGTGCCTCTCCTTTGCACAAACCTGCTTGTCCAGCCTAGTTCTGTGTTTAGTTGTTAGATAACTGCCACCATGTGAGCAGGGGCATGGTAGATAATTGGCTTTTTTTTTTACATGTGATCTTTTTCTGAGAACTTGCTCCATGGTCCATTTTTCCCTTAGTTTAATTTCTTACTATTAACACACAAAGGGAACCATTGTGAAACTTAAAGGTTCTGGTAACTGTTGCAAGGTAATTTAACACTGTTTTCATTTTTGCTAATATAAGCCAGAACATCTAAGGCTGCTGTTCAGTTGCGTAAGAACCACTTTAGTTAGGATATATGAAGTTATATATTTTCAGGATTCACAATAGGACAACACTGGGGCTTCTGAAGTGAATAATACTTGTTATAATAGTCCTTTATTTTTTTTCTTTTCTGTTAAGCTGTTTTATTAAAAAGTAGCATTAAAAAACACTGTCAAGACTTCAACTATGGAAGTACACTCAAAGTAGAGTCCATTTTGGAACTGAAGCTCCTTTAGTGATTGAAAGTTTTGCTTGGAGTTCAAGCAAAAGATGACAACCAGCTTGCTGCCAACAGGCAAGTTGCTTATCTACCTGGAAAACCTAAGTGAAATACCACCCTTAAGATCAAAGAGAAAACCATTTTCTTATGAGCTAACAGAAGTAAAAAATATTCCAGTAGGTTAAGATATTTTGCAATAAATTAGACAGTTTCATTAACCTGTTTTCATAATAAGAGTCACAAGTTCTCCAAATGAAGATTATCTCATTTCCAAATATAAAGTTGGAGATTTGGTTAGTTCACATGGAAGAATTCACAAGGGTTTTAACATAGTTGGGGGTTGAGGGTGGGAGAGAGGAGGGAGAGGGAGAAACAAAGAATTTGGAGATACTAAAGGACATATTTTCTGTTCAGCTCTTTATCAGCTGTGTTATTCATACATAGTGACTTCAGCTCACTGCTTTATCTGAAGACTGTATGGGCTTTACTTCTAGTTGTAGTAAAGTTGCAATGAATAAGACATTGCCTCTCTCTGTTTTAGAAGGAGTTTTTTTCTTCCTACCTTTTCATCTCTTAAGTTTTTGCTTGCTTCATGGTTCTGTGTGCTTGCTTTTACTTCCATCACATCTATGGATGGCCCTCTGCCTAAATTAAGGAAAAAGTATATAAGCTGGTTCCAAATAACACCCTTTGACTGTTAAAAAACCCCACCCCACCCCTGAACTTTGGACAGTGCTGTTAACAAGCTTCTGTACCAAGGCACAGAGCAACCCCAGTGCTGCTGTTCATGAGAATATAAAGATACTATTCAGCTCAAAATGTAGATGCTTGAAAGGCTGATTAAGTAGCTTGCTGTTCTTTTAAGGCACATCTTGTCAGTCCTGAACTCATTTGTGGCACTGTGATAAGGAGAAACAAGCATGGTTTCTCCACCTTGTTTACTGAGTTTTGGAATGCTTTAGAAATAAAGGTGCCTGGACAACTTGAAATGTCATCTGTACTCCCAGTACTAATGCTTAAACATTTCATCTGCAAGATGATCTACTCTAGAATAATAAACCTCAGACATGAATACTGTAATTCCCTGGAGAGAATGCAGTGACTGCAGTCTGTTGCTGGTGGAGCCTTCAGAAATCCTGGGCCTATTCCTCAATTACATACATCTTCCAGATAGTTACATCAGCAACAGATATGCTGTTAAATACTAGCCCAGGTCACAAGTGTCATCATAGTTGTTTAGTGTGTATGCATGAACAGTCTGTGAGGGAAGAGATAAGGCTTTTGAACATCACTGATAGTATTTTCTAAACCTTGTCTGATGGTTAAAGATTTTTTGTTCCTTCCTGGGCTGCTTGTGAACTCCTGCAGAGATGAAGCTTGCATGTACAAGAAAACGGCAGGCAACCTTTCATCCTTCCCTTGAGTGAAAGGTGTAACTTGTTTTAGGTGCTTAAAACAAATAGACCATTGAAAATCACCAGCTGGCTTCCAGAGACAGCTGTTCTTTTAGTGCATCTTTCTGCCTTCTTTGGTCAGCTGTTGGGAAGGTGCTTCATCCAATGCAGCATCTGCTTTTCTTAGATTTCTCCTCCACGCACTGTCCAGCGTCCTGTCCTGGGGTGCCAATACTGACGAGAACCTGGGAAATAGACACGGGTCATGCTGCGTGCTCAGACTGTGTGTTAAATGTTTTAAAGCATGTTGGTCCTGTACTGGGCGTAAAATATACCGAGTACTAAGCAAGCTGGAGTTGTAGCTGTGGAAAGTTCCAAGGGGAACTGGGAGGGAAGGGAATGGTTAGGTGTTAGGAAAACATTTTGATTCTATGTGGATTTTCTTTCTATTAGAAGTGAAAGAACTTGCTTCCTTATAGTTGCTCAGAAATGCTTTTGCTATTGGAGGAAGGATGTGCCTCTATCAGTATCTCAGTATCTTATCTATTGCTTACATCTTCTGACAGTAGTTGTACTTAAAAGCAAATAATGTTTTTGCTAAATTTTACCTTGTTAAACTTCTAGTGTGTAATTAATTCTGATATTTCTACAGGGATATATTCAGTGGAACTGGTAAATGACAGCTTGTATGAATGGCACGTTAAGCTTCTAAAGTAAGTTACTGAAGTTTTGTCATACTCTGAAAAATCTGTTTCATGATTGCTTCAGAGATTCTTATCCTTGACAAATGAAAAGCTCTAGCCAGAGCACATAGAATAGTGTGTGGTGGCTACAGTTCTGGTACACAGAAATGTGTACAGAGATTGAACTGGAGTAACTGAGCTGGCAAAAAACCAAACCCCCTTTGCATAGCCAACTCAGTGTGTATTACCGTAACTTTAATTTCTGTTCAGTTCTCTTTCCAAAATGACTCCAAAATATGAAACTTAAAGTAATGAAATCTTTTTCCAGAGCTTTTGTCTGGAGGGTTTTATTTTGGGGTTTTTGTTTTAATTTGAAGAAAATGCAACTTCTCATTTCATTCAAGAAGTGAAAAGGAACAGAACTGTCTTAGTGTCATTAGTTCTTCATCTCTACAGTTGAGCAGACACATAGGACTGAAACTTTTAGGTATAACATAGTTATGACTCATAACTTGTCTTCCTTTACGTACTGCTTTTCACTACATGCACTAGATAAATCGTTTTGTTGTGGCCAAAGTCCAATAACTTTAATTCTAGAGCTATTATATTGAAGTAATTCCTGGTAAGGGTCATCTGCCATCAATCCTACAAGATAACCTGTAGGAAGAAAATGCCTGTCCAGAGTAGGATGGTAGCAAAATATGGAAGGTTCAGATAGGTCATGGTGAATTAAGGACATAAGCTGTTTCAGCACAATAATTTACCTGCCTATAGGAACTGTTGCCTTGTCCTAGTGGTAACACTTGAATGACTGTGTCACCAACTGCTGAAATAAAGGCTTTTTCCCCTTAGTGTAATGATAGGCATGGGAACATTTTGAAGCTGAAAATGGCAGCAATGACGTGTGTAAGAAAAATCTGTGCCATATTACAGGACGCCTTGTCTATTGAGCACTTCAGTAACAAAGTGCTCAAAGCACTGTGCAGTGATTTGAAACCTCTTTTCAAGTGCTGGGAACAGATCTGACTTTCTGCTTTCAAGAAAGACAAAATGGAGTGCATGCAGCAAATGGCTTCCAGGATGACTAAAGAAGATAAGAAGTACTGTGTTTGTTTACCCAGCAAAAAGCATCTCTAAACAAATGAAATGTGTGCAGACTATATAAGGGGGTAAATGTTAGAAAGAAAAGAGTGCACTTGATTAAGAAACTGTATTGTTACTAGAACAAGTAACGCTGAACTGGCCTAGTACAAGCTATGGCTGGAAGTTACAGGTTTCTAAGCATTGGGAGATTCTCTTCTGAATCAGCTTCCCATTGGTAGGATGGGGACAAGCTGCCCATTCTGCAATGGGATCTAACAAGTTTGTGGTTTCACTTGTAGCAGAGGGTTGGATTTGATAGGCCATCAATCCCTTTAACATATGCTTTAGGCTTGCAGCAGACATTTTTTGACTAGTCTCTTTTAAAAGCTGCTGGGGTGTCAGAGCCTGGGTGGAATTAACCCACTAGTGTCTGAGTGTCTGGGCTGCTCACCACCAGTGTTTTGCAAGAAACAGCTGATGAAACTCTGGTGAGCAGAAGCTGCTGGGTTTAGTACTTGTGCTCATGCAGATTACTTTTAACAGTTGCTGTGGAACTATGATCACATAAAGTAAAGGATTTACTAACTGTGTACTGAAAACTAGATCACTGCAGTCTTCCTGTTAATTGTTTTTTTTCTTCCCCCTCTTGTTGGAACATACATTTCCAGTGAACTGAAGAGAATTAAAATTGCTGTTTTCAAATAAACAGGTTGCTTTGTGCTAACTATAAAAATATATATGACTCTGTATGTAACTATAAAAATAATATAGCATTGGGAATGTAACGTGTTGAATCAAGCTTTCAAGCTGATCTCATGGCAAAGTATTTACTTTGTAAAAAGAGCAGGAGTTTTTTACAGTTCACCTTAAATTACAGTTTGTAGACTACAAATACCTGAAAGAGCTATTTAAGAGAGAGTAATCACTGTTCACAGGTAGTGAAACTATTAACTTCATCCAGGGTCTCAGCCTACTTCTTTTATAGGGTTGATCCTGATAGCCCACTGCACAGTGATCTTCAGGTCTTGAAAGAAAAAGAAGGTGTAGAATACATTTTACTCAACTTCTCTTTTAAGGTATGTGTCCATGGGAAGAAATGCTCCGGTTAAATTTGTACCTTACAGTAGAAAGTGACTTAAATGACCTGTTACGTGGGTGAAGATAGAGCTGTAGCATTAAAAAGAAAAAAGAAAAGCCACTTTCTTTGCCACTAAAGCTTCCCAGTACTTGCTTTTGAGCCAGTGCTGTGGGAAAGTGATTTCTACAGAACTGAAAACTTTTACTGCTTTAAATCTCATTTGCCAAGTAAGGTGGCTGAAATACTTCCTGGTTAGGAAAGCAGTGTTATAAATAAATATATTTCTTAACCTGGTTTTTGTTATGCTTTTCAGGATAACTTCCCTTTTGATCCTCCCTTTGTGCGAGTGGTATCTCCAGTGCTCACAGGAGGGTAGGTTTGAGCTGCCTCATAGTAATCTTACTTTGTGGTGAAAATGTTGTGACTTGGTATCGGTTGGTTGGGTTTTCAGGGAAAGTTTTGAGACTCACATAGAGACTTCAATAAATTTCCCCTAAATATGTACCTGAGCTGCTACAGACCATGAGTTTGGTCAAAAGCTCAAAGTGTTATGTGGAGACTTGTTTCTCAAGCTTTCTGACAAACAGCTGGGCAGCTGGGTGCAATTTCTCTTGGAATTGCTTACTTTGTGTCTAGCTTTGAAAGACTGTGCCTGCCATGATGTTCAAGAACTGCTACTTCTCCTATTGTAGAGTGTTTTGAGTTGGTCCTTCGAAGTGTTCTTGGTCCCTGTGTTGCCTTAAACTGTGGTCTTAACTGACTCTCTTGCTGGTAACACTGCCATAAAGTTTTAGTCAAAAACATCCTCAAATGTTAGCCCCAAAATACTAAATTTGATCAACACAATGCTCCATAAGTCATGTAAAATATTTGAAGTACTGTCTGTGGCATGGGAACTTGTAGATATCCAAGGAGAGTAAATTAAATTTGCCTTTTAAGGCTTTTATGCACCTCCTGCTGACAGGAAATTATACCTGTACATTTGAAAAGGCAGTCTGTGATACCTGGTGCTGATTCTGATTTGATTTTAATTGCTATGTGTCTTTTTGGCATTCAAATAAGGGTTAGTGCAGGTAAATAGTGTTCATGAGGGTTGCTGCTACCCAGAAAGTGAACAAGCAGTGCCAGACACCAGAAAACTCATTTGGATTCTGATTTTCTTGTACTTGGGCTTCTTTGGAGAATGAAAGAAAGAATGCCCCAGCAGGTTCGCAGTGATTGTTTCCCTGTGAATGTTGTATACATCTATGTTGTGTAGTTAGCAAGGGAAATTAGCGTTGTTAGACCAAAAAGAAATATAATCTTCTTTGTCTAAGTATAATATGTCTAACTAGGTACAATATATTACTGGTTAAAGGGCATTTCAGCTTCATGTGAACAAAAAATTTACCAAACTAGCGTGCAAGAGCTTAAAGTGCTGTGAAGAGTTTGAGCTTTTACCAACTGTTGATGTCAAATGTATTTTCTTTCATGTCTGTTTCTAGGTATGTCCTAGGAGGAGGTGCATTATGCATGGAACTTCTTACTAAACAGGTGAACACAGGTTCTGTTATCTGGATGATAACAAATAGGTGTTTCCCCTGAGATGAAGAATCCCTGTGTGGAATAAATTATACACTCCAAAGGAAACATGGTGGAATAAACCTCAGTCACACAAGATTTGCCTTGCTGATCTTGTGAGAGCCTCTTTTCTGCCTCGGATGGCTTACAAGAGGTCTGAGGAAGAGGCAAGCAGTGAGAGCACATCAACTTTGAGTTCTCAGAGTTTCTGGGAGGAAGCCGGTGTAGAGAGTGAGTTCTGAGGAGCAAGACACATTGCTTTCTTCTCCAGAAGCTTCTGGTACTGCACCAAGTCAGCTCTGGAGAAGTGAGGAATGCAGAAGATTCTAGGCATAGATGACTTTTGTGTAGACAGTGATTGGTTTTCTTTTTAAAATGAGTAAATGAATGAAGTAACTGTTCACAGGCTCTGGCAGAAACTTTTGTGAACCCTGGAAGGTAAACAATGCCAGAGATAAACAGTAATTTTCATGGGACAGAATTGTCAGAGCTCACTGAATGGCTTCATTAGACAGCAGTCTTTGCTGCTGCTTCCAAGAAAGTAATTTCTGTTGCGATGTTGCTGAAAATGTGTAAATGCTGTAATAATGGAGCTGCTCTTGTGGCTGGCTGGCTGGCTGCGTTTTGGAAATGTGTGAATCAGCCTTTCCGTGTTTCCTACAAGTTCTTAGTAGTAATGCTGTAATATCACTTTGCAGATTTTCTCTGTTGTTAACTGAAAACAAGTACTTAAAACTAAAACTGGAGTTCAGAAAAAAAAATCCCAAAGCACACATCCCAAAATCAATGGGCAAGCTGAGCAAAAGAAGCAAGTACATGTTACACAGAAGTATTTCCTTCCTCCCTCAGGGCTGGAGCAGTGCCTATTCCATAGAATCAGTCATCATGCAGATCAATGCCACTTTAGTCAAAGGAAAAGCCAGAGTACAGTTTGGAGCCAATAAGGTAAATATGCTATCTTATATCCATTACAGAAGTTACTGTTAGGCTTCCATTTCTTTGCTGGCATGTATGGAAGATGCTTAATGACAGAATTGTCATTGCAAATATATTTGCATTTTGATTTATCTTGATATCTGGTGCATGTGTGAGTATTTTATTGGCAGTTAACTCTGAGCTTGTTAAGAAATGATGAACATGGGAGGATAAAACCTTGGGATGGGCAGGGTGTGTAAGCAGTTAGACTTGCACTATCCCTGTACTGGCAAGGTGGGAAGGAAGTGGTATCAGAATTGGGAATCAGGAGGATTTGGAAATTCCAGATCTGAGAAGGGCTATAGATGACATCCTGGCTGCCAGGATTGCATATGCTGATATTAAGGAGTTCTCCTCCTTTTGCTGGACCAAACACCTGCAAAGTTTCATGAGAGGGTGAAAAATAATACTATGCAAATCCCGAGCAAGCCATTCAAGCATTAGTGGGAATCATAATTCAGTTCAAGTGGGTGTGCTGGTAATGGGCCATAACTTAAAAGACTTTAAAGTACTAAATGCTGTTTTCAAAGGATGTTTAAATATTTAAGTGAATGAAACTGTCACTTGAATGCTAGTTTTTAAGTACTGATCCAAGGATAGTGACCTAGGTAGGTAAGATATTATGATCACCATTCTGTCTAACCCAGTAACTGGTCAGCTGAGCAAGACAGATTGCCTGAAGCCTTCATTCCAGTTGCTCAGGTTCTTAACTTTCTGATAGAGGGGCCTTTCCAGCAGTAGGGGTGTACAAATTACTATCATTATGATGGGGGAGAAATGAGGAAAATAAGGGTATTTGTTTTGAAAATCTTGTGTTTTAAAGCCAGGAATGTTGTAACACTGTGCAAGGTTTTTATTTGTAAGTCTGCTATAGCATTTCTTGATAGAACTGTTTTTAAGCCTCACGTGTCTGGCTACCAGTTTATGTTAGGGTTTTTTTTTTTCTCCTTTCAGAATCAATATAATTTAGCAAGAGCACAGCAGTCCTATAAGTCACTAGTACAAATACATGAGAAAAATGGTATGTACATTCTTTTGATTTTTGTTCTTTTCTGCACAGCAACCTGGGAAATTGGTATTTGGCCTCAGTAAAACTTCTAAGTGCCAGAGTGTCTTACGTCGGCTTGGAAAGAACATAAATGGTGTTTTCTTCTTCTCATCTTGCGCTAGGAAGACAGTAGTGCTTAAAGTAACTTGACTAACAATCATTGCAACTTTTCCAGCTTATGAAATGTTCCATGTGTTCCTACTGTCTTTTGAAAGGTAGCTCAATTTTGTTTTCAGCCAGCTGGTCTAGGAGCTTTACTGTTACTGGAGCTTTCAGAGTGTCGTAGTGCCCTGAAGGGCTTTGTTTCAATGCGGCAAGACCTTGTAGTAATCATTAAGGAAGAGATAAAGTTGAAAGAAAGACCAGAGGTTTAAAAAATACAAAAAGTCCAAGTCAGGTGCACAGGCTGGAAAACTGTGCAATAGAAATGGGAGACGCATTTATTGTTCTATTTAAAGCCAGTTTATGGTCTTTCAGCTGCATGAAACAAGTATTCAAGTGGTTCAGGTATAACTGTGTTCATTGTGCCAGGACGAGGCGACGACAAATGACCTAAGGCTTTAAAAGGTTTAAGTGGCTTGTATGTTATGTAAAAGCAGTCAGCAGAACTGTTACCCTGGTGTCGTGATAGAGAGTTAGTCCAGTTACCACTTCTGTGATATTCTGTAGTCCAGGTTGGACACACTGTCTTCTGGGAATTCATGTTGCTTTGAACATGAGTATATTTCAGAGTGGCTGGATGTGAGCACCTCAGTTTCCCTACCTGTAAAACTGAACATCATGCCTTATCTACTGGGGGGAGGAAGATCAAAGAGGACAACTTTAAAATGCTTTCCAATTTTATGGTATTTTGAGCTTAACATTAACTGAGTCTTTTGGTTTTTTAGTTTGCTACAAAAGCCAGCATGGTGCTCTGTTTACTTTTAGCTATGTGCTAGCCTTGACTGCAGTGATTACTACCATGTCACGAGCTGTACACAAAGCATGCACAGCATTTGTTGCTGCTGCAAAAGGTGTCTTTTTGCTACCTGTTCTCTGGGACAAAATAAATAGGTCCTGTATTCACTGTACAAAAAATTTTTACAGTAGTGGCTGGTAGAATTAAGATTGGAGATCTTTAGAGGTGACTAAAGAAAACCCCTGTGCAAATTTGATCAGGTGTGATTCAACTGCTAAACATGCCAAATCCGATCAGGAGACAAAATTATTCAACTGGCATTTTTGAGCCTAGTGCTACAGCAAGACTTGCAGAAGTAGGATGAACCATTCAAATGCTTGTAAATGCCTAGCTCTTCAGTATGGGAGGTGGGATTTATAGACAAGTATCCCAGTGCAGTCATGCTTGTATGTCTGTGTGTTAAATGGCTTGAAGACTTGGAGTTACCTGTATTCCATTCGGTTTTGCTACAGCAACTTTCCTCCTCTGCAGCTTCTTCTGTTGATGTCCAGCTTGTCCACCTCAGGATAGCTGCTGCCACAAAAAAACCCAGACTTGGAAGTACTTAATTTTCACACCCACAAACTGGGTGTGATCCTGGAATACGCCACGTGCTTTATCTCCCACTGCAGACCACTACCATTTTGGGCACTGGGTCTTGCTGAGCTAACCTTCTTTAAGAGGGAAGGAAGGAGGCAGGTTTTAGAGGTCCATCTCCCAGAAATGGAAAGTGAGATGGTAAGACTGTCCTGACATAGTGATGTCTGTACCTAACACATGTCTCTCTTCTCTGTAGGCTGGTACACTCCTCCAAAAGAAGATGGCTAACGTTGAGGACTGTTGTATACATGGACCAATGTCAACAAAACAAGCTCTTTTTTATGTTTTCCAACACACAGACTCAAGCTACGAGTGCCCCTATAACAGCTGTACTGAAGACTTTAGCTATTAGATAAGTTAGTGGATAATCTGTCAACTGACACATAAAGTATAAGTTACAGCCTTACCATTCCGCTCTTAAGTATCTGGACTGAGCAGTTTGGGCCTTTACCGTATTTGTTCTTATGGATTAAGCATATTTGGGCCATGCCCTCCCTTCTCCCTTTTTTATTTGAAAGCATAAGCTCCCTACAGCAGGCTACCGAGTTACTAAAGATCATTCAGTAGGAGTGAGTTGTTCGACACACTTTTGTGTATTTCTTACCTTTTGCAAAATGCAGACTGCAGAGACTTGCATTGTATCGTTTCATTTAAAGCCAAGAAGTTTAATACCTTTGTTTAACACTGTTTTAGGAGATGTCAGGTGTTGCAAATCACAGTAGGTTTTTTTTTTTTTTTTTTCTGGACTAAAATGACAGCATTTGTAGTATTTCCAAATTAATGATATAGGAAGAACACATGTATGTTAAGTCATTAAACATTTTTCATGGCTGTATGAGAATATGAACTGTTTTTTGGAAGAGATGCTCTTTGTTTAGGTTATGTTAAATTTTTTTATTCTTGGTTTTTTGTTTGGTTTATTTTTTTTTAAGCAGAGCAAGGCTGTGCCAATAAAACCTTGTAACTAGTCACTTCCACTGGGGCATCAGAACTTGCTGGGCTGTTCCTGCTACTTGTTGGCTCAAGCTCCTTAACAAGAAGAGCCGCAGTATGAAGCTTGAAGTTATTTAAAATACTAAAAAAAAAAAAAACCTTTTTAGGTGTTCCATTTTATTAACGGGTTGTTGCAATCATTTGTAAACTAATGAACTTATAAAGTGATTGGCACAAATCGAGATGAAAGTCCTTGGATGAAAATTTTTATATAAAAGCTACAATAAAGTACAAAAACATGTCATCTGATTCAGAGGTTTAAGAAACGTTGCCATAGTCATGACAGTGGTTTTGTTATTGAGAGACGAATGGGAACTGTTGGTTCTTTATTAGGAAATGAATCTGGGTCTGTGTAATTACACCGTATTTCATTGCCTTAACTAAATCGACTCTGTTTTGGTTGTAGTACTAGTCCTTAGGCCCTTGCTCCCCTGTGGGGCCGTACCATGAGTTAAGCTCTCTTTTAAAGCGCAGACGCATGTTTCTGTTCTGTTTTCAGTTGACTATCACCCCTGTGCTCTCTCCGCTGTCAGGCCCCCGCGGGTCCGTGTGCGTTTGCTCTTACATCCAGTTTTTAGCTTGAAAGAAAGGATGGGAGAGGTTTGGC